TTTGAAATTTCTGTAATGTTTACTAGCAGTTATTGAAGTATAAATATGTTATTTTATTATTGAGTACAATGTGTTGTTCAATGTATTAGTTATCCAATGAAAATTACCTAACCAATATATTACTACAAAACAAAGACTTTAATGTTAAAATTGGTTTTAAATTAAAAAAAAGTTGTAGAAAATCTTTGAAATAGATAATAATATAAAAATATGTCATTATATATTTTTTCCTCATTTCTTCCCATCAGAAGATTTTCAGATACAGAAGAATGTTTAAGTTACGAAATGTGAAAATATTCTGTTTTCAAGCAAGTTTTTAATCGATGATCAATTTTTTTTATGTTATTTTATTGTGAACTCATATTTTCCTAAATACATCTCTGTGAAACTATGGCGAGTGCCACGACTATACTTTGCCTAGTTATAGACCACTATTATACAGCTACGTCAGTGGTCACGGGACCCGAGAACAAGGTCATATAAAGTGGCAGAAAAAGAACAAAGGATTTGACAAGAAGTAAAGCTACTAGTTTCCTTATACTATGACAATGCGTCCAACTAAAAAGAGAGTATTTGAGGAAGGCAACACCATAATTGGAAATAGTTGAATAAGCTGAAAATGATAAAGATGATGATTTTACTTAATTTTTTATAAACTTTTGTTAAACTCTAATTATTTTTCAGATTTTTTATTCTTTTAATAAATCGTGTATTTAACGTTTACATGACTTTTGTATAAAGTATAAAAAAGCAGTTTATTATAATTTTTCTTTGTTAACTTTTAATTAAAACAGGTCCAAAGTTCGTCTCAAAAAATAAACAAATACATTAATTAGATTGATGCTCGGTGCTCTGTTTTATTCTTTTTTCGTTCGAAAAATCCAACTTCGTTTAGTTTAAGAGAAAAATGATCTCTCTTATCTTATTTCTCGATTTGAGAAGAGAAATGTTCGCTTTCTAACTCGAGAGGCTCTCGGGTAAAATCTATGTTGTGCATGGACATACACTTATCTGATGTGTGGCAGTTTTATTTCTCTTTTTTATTATAGATTGATTATACTTGTATTTACTAATAACATTTTTTAATATTAACACCTTAAGATTTTCGAAATTATTATATCTTTAATAAAGAGTCTTTATGTTTATAGTCATGATTAAAATTTCTATTTTAAGGATGCTTAAATGTGCATCTTCATTCTCAAGTTTGAATGAGCTTGATGTTTCAACTTGATTTATTGGATTAGGTTAGGTTAGGCGTATTTCATATAAATCTAAATAGACAAGTTTATTTGTATATTTAAAAAAATAGTATATCAGGTGTTTCTCAAAAATAGCTCACTCCTATATAACTTAATTAACGGAAATGACTACAACTTTTCACTTTTAAATGACACCCTCAGTATTTTTTTTACTTTATTTGATAGAAAATGAGATTCTGTATGGAATGATATACAGGGTGTTTCAAAACAAATGCGAAAAACTTCAGGGGGTGATTCCTTGTTCAAAATAAAGGGTTAGTTTGCTTTATAAACGTTGGGTCAAAAGTCAACCATTAGGGAGATATCGCGGTACAAAGGTGGCGGAAAAATAATGTTTTTATTTTTTATCTTGAAAACGAAAAGAGATAGACTAATGAAATTTTATGGAAGTATTATTGTTATAAAAACACACTTTCTGGTAATTTTTTCACTTTTTTAAAACGAGTGAAAGGGGTTGAAATAAACTACCTCTATCATTCTTGCTAGCGAAATTTAAAGAAAAATCTTATCAAACACATACAAAAAAATTAATTTGGATAGTTGTTTTGGATGGTTTAGAAAACAAAGTTTTTTTTATCTCTTGTGTTTTTTTGATAAAACTCACCGATTGAAATTAAAAAATAAAATGTAAAGCATTACATGTCAGGATAAAAAACATTTTTAGATAAAGAATCTAGTAATGACATGTAATGCTTTACATTTTATTCTTTAATTTTAAATCGGTGAGGTTTATCAAAAAAACACAAGAGATAAAAAAACTTGCTTTCTAAACAAACTAAACTATCCAAATTATTTTTTTTTGCATGTGTTTGATAAGATTTTTCTTTAAATTTCGTTAAGAAGAATGATAGGGGTAGTTTATTTCAACCCCTTCCACTTATTTTAAAAAAGTGAAAAAATTACCAGAAGGTGTGTTTTTACAACAGTAATGCTTCCATAAAATTTCATTAGTCTATCTCTTATTGTTTTCAAGATAAAAAATAAAAACATTATTTCTTCGCCATCTTTGCACCGCGATACGGGGAATTCCCTCTGACACTTTGGCTGGATCCAAGGGGTATCTTACTCTCTTATCCCTGGTTGTAGTGTCGTGGCCAGGGAATTGCACAAAGACGTATAACGATGCCCGATGGGACTGCCCTGTCCGTGTGTATCACAGGCAGAGGGTATCTTCGCTTAACCGCCCGGACCTAGAGGAGACAAATTCACCAAAAAAACTAAATCCTACGTTGACGGATCAAAGGAATGCGTCGCTAGATAGAAGACTAGCCTGTACTGGTCTCAATCTTGGAGCACATGGGGGCAACCTATTTTATTCTCGTCTCCCTTAGGCTAAGAACATAGTGGAGCGGCGAGCAAGCAGCGCGATACCGCGTCGAGCAAGCCTCGAGATGCTAATAATAGTAGAGCGGCGAAGAATAGCGAGGTCCTTGTGCAAACTTATTATTTTCATTTGCTTATTGATGATTTAAAATGTTAACAGCGGCTAAAATTATGGGCAGTAGTGTCGCAAACATTTAGTTACATAAAATTTTCAAAAACCGGAGAAAGTGTGGCAAGTTTTATAACCTTTATGAAAATCTGTTGCCACTTCATCTCATAAATTATCTAAAATGTACCGGTTATGGTGATTACTGTCTTTCTGGTCCCATAAAATCTCTCTTACAATTACTAAATCTATTAATTTTTGGAAATCCATCATATTCTACAGCGCGACAGAGGGACGAAAACAAAATTATTTGGATCGATCTTGCCGCTCGATCTAACCGCTCGAGCAGATCGCTTCACTATGTTCGCACGTACTTGTTTTCACAGGTTTGTTTTGGACGCGATGTCGCGCTGCTTGCTCGCCACTATCCTCATCACTCCACTATGTTCTTAGCCTTACTTATACATGCAGGGCTCTGTAGAGGTGGACCGACTAACCCTTGCAGTTAGTTTAGATTTTTGTTAGGCTTTGCCAGAACTCCAGTGTAAGGACATCGAGTCGGCAAATCATCAACTCGAGGGAGAAGAGCCATGGACAAGTTCTCACAATAGAAATTGACATCAAATACAAAGAGGCAATAGATAAAGAGTGATATATCCTCTATTATAGATCCGGGACAACACTGGTATCAGGTCTAAGGAGAGACCAAGTTAAAGAGGTGGAGAAAATGGAGACAGATCCTCCAGCCTCCAACTCAAGGGTACCTCAGCCGGAGGCACAGTGAAGGGCACAGAAGGCTAAACCCCAACCGTGGAAGGATGTATACCAGTAGATACCACGTGTATACACGTAGGAGGTAGATGCCCACTCCTCGGAGGATGAACATGAAAAACCCCATGTATGATGAGTTATAACTCAAGAAAGGGGGACAAAATTAATCTCTAAGGTCGCGGTGAGTTACCCGCCTTTCACTCACTCTACATTCTTGATGGGACCCTCTAGTGCGGCCGCGGGGGCTTTTTGTGGCCTATAGGGCCTGTTAGTCTTGTATTGGTAGAATTAATATTTCTGAATACTAAAATTTAAATTTATAGGAAACAATTCTCTAAAACTCTATTTTTAATATGAAGCTGATTCATAATCGATAATATAGTAAAATAACCAACATTTTACTAAAAGTATTATACTTTATTTGCATAATTTACCATAACGAAGCCGAAAAAACCCATGGATCGTGCTACATTAAAAAAAGAACAAAAATACGTTGATGAATTCTTAATGGTAGGAAAAAGGTCGTCGAAGTCGAATGTAGAATTTCTCATGTATTTTTAGTTACTGCATTGTGTTCGAGCACGAAAAGAACTACAGCCGAGAAAAACGTTCGTCGACAACAAAAGGATGCAAAACTAGGCTTCGAATTCGCATCCAGAATAATAATTCGGCTTTTGCATCGCAGTCTAGTTCAGTAGCTTTGTCGATTTTGACCCCGAATGGATAATGTTTTGGTCATTTTTTTAGTTATACGAGTATCCAGTGCTATGGATCTTTTATTCATAGACTTATGTGATATCTGACATTTGCGTTAATTTTTGCCTTAAATTGGTTTAGAAATGAAATAAAGTAAAATTTATTCTGTTGCTCTGGGAACATTTGAAATATATTTTTACTAGTTTTTTCCCGGCCACTCCGTGGGCATAAAATTTAAATTTTATTAATATAAAGAGTAGGTAATATTTATTATAGCCTTTGAGCAGCTAGTGGCAATATTTAAAAGTACCTATTACACGTGTCTAGTTGTAATTGATAGTCCATGAATATAGATAGTCGTTTAACAGAGTTTAACCTAACCGTGTCTCATTTTATTGTTCTTCCATACGTCCAAACAAACCTTGGCTTTTATAATACTAGTACGGATTACTGAAGAATTGGAACTCGGAACTATTATTGCAGAAGTTGGACACTTTTTTAGCATTAAAATATGTCACATTTGTTATAACTTTTACCCTCAAAATTTTATTGGAATTGCTAGAAGTACTTGGAAGAAAATTATAATAAATCGAAAAAAATTAAGACTTTAACACCCTGTAATCACGAAACAAGATCTGACCTATGTTGATATAAAAATAAATCTTATTTTTGCGTGAGGAATCTCTCCACGAGAGATGGCACGTGTTTTTTGAAACACCCTGTATATTTATAAAGAATAAATTAACCCCCATTCTTTTTGGAGTGTCCGCCTCTTATGAGAGGCGCCACCCTGTATTTACTTTATTTTTTTAACTCCTTTAAAATCTTATGTGTTTTATTTTTAGGACAATGGACGCGAGGCTCTGGATCTCACGGCGTCACCACTACGGGCACCACCAACCGCTCCCAATAATCGGCCCAGTCATCCACCACCCATGGTTATACAAGGTGATTTTAGAAAGGTACGTTATAATAGGTTATTAAAAGAAACTACTACAATGCTAAATGAGAATATATGTTATTTCACTATATCTGAAAAAATAGGTTGCTTCTCGAATTGGAGCAGTGTCATTTTGAGATAGAAATGCCGTGCTATTATTTGCCCAGAGTAGGACAACTTTATTTTCTTTGCCTAATTTGTTCAGCCCCTCTAACTTCGAATTGATAGTTATTGAGTTGATCGTTTTTGGAGCTGCTTGACTATCGGATAAGATGGATATTTCCTGTTTTCGATAGTTCATATCTAAGACAAATTGTATACATTTTTTGATAGCGTCGATTTCTGCCTGAAGGATGCTGGGGTAGGTGCCAATGGTTCAGAATATTTAGTCTTCGGTCCAAATACTTCTATCCCTGTCCCTGCTTTGGTTTTGGAAGCATCAGTATACCACGTTATGGTATGGTCTATTACATACTGAGCAAACTAAGCGCATACTGCAAAATATACAAAGAATATACTATAGTGAGATGTTTCTCAAAGTTGTAAATTCTTGGTATGTCGAATTATAGGAGTTGGAGGAGTGGAATTTTGTTTCTTAAAAAAGTTAGAAAACATTTCACTTTGTGTCCTATATCCAATATAAGTTTTACATTTTGGTTTGCCAGCATCATTTTGCTAAAAATGTAATTCAATCTCTGTTTTATTCATAACAGGAAAGATTATGATTATCATGTTCATTCGGTTCTTCTTCATTTTATAACGAGCCTGCCTTTTGCATTATTGGCCAATAGATTTTCTATATAATAGGTGGTCTCAGATTATATGATGCATATATGCGGGTGTTTTTGTTTTAGTAGGAAGACATAAGGTAGTCAATTATTATTGTTTTGAAACATATGCTATAAAAAATTGAGTCTACTCTTCAGATTAAACGTAAGTGTTTTATAAACGTAGTGGATTATATTATTTATTGTTGTGAGTATTGTTCAGCTTGAAGTTATTAGGCAAAAAATAACTTGAATTAGTTGTGTTCATAACTGGTCAGTTTATGATTACCAAGTCCTTCATTTCCATTTTTCCGATCAACTCATTTGTAGTGTATTGCCATTTTTCCGATCAACTCATTTGTGTGTCACTTTTATACAGTGAAGTACCATGTATAAAGTTAAATTAGTTAGATTATAAACTTATTTTATCAAACATTAATTTGTGTTAATTATAAAAACCTGAAAAATAGAAGATAGACGAAAACGAAAAAATCATAAAACTGTTCTCATTAGAGCGGAGTAAAAAAATTATTGAAAAAAACAAGTGTTTAGAATTTGTATTATTTTCTTATGCGTTTAAATCTGGCCTATACAGAATGATCTGTTTGGTTAAAAATCAGTTTTTTATAAATAGTGCTACCTAAAATAAATCTCTAAGATATCCTTAAGAATACTACAAAGCAATTAAATTCAATCATACTTATTTTGGTAAACAGAATAATAACTTTAGATATTTTTGAACTAATCCACAATGTACTTCAAAAACAAACAGATATAATTCTTGATAAATATTTTACATTAGCTTTAAGTTTTTGATATAACAAAGTGCGACATATTAAGTGAACTTACCATACGAAAAAATCTAATTATCGTTTGTACTGCAGTAGTCCAAAAACTAATTATCCGACATAATTCGCTTGCTGTCAAATATGATATTCTCTCTATATAGCTAAATTGTACTGCCTTATATGCATTAGCTACCCAATTGCGCGTGTTCGAAGCTCCTGATATAATATTGAAAACCGTGTGAGAGAATATACGGACGACAGACAATGCCTATTAAAATTTAAATTAAATAACTTTTTGATATATAGATCATTTTAATATCTTGGTTAGGTTAGGTTACATATCTGATAAATCGATATCTCAGTACTGTAAGAAAAGTATAGATGATATAAATTAAATTTTAGAATAAAATAAATTATATCTTTTTTACTAATATATGATACAAATCTATAGTTCATAATGTGTTCTATATTGCGTATAGGTTTTATCAACGGCTTTTGTAGACGTATCTGTTTAAAAAAACTAAAGTGTTCTCGAATAGTTGCATTTAAATATTATAAATAGTTTTTTTTTCTTTGTATTTTTTTGCTTCCAACGCCGACGACGGAAACAGATAAACTTTCCGAAACGTTAAACATTTTTTGTTCGTTAGGCAAATTTGTATATCTGTAAACTTAACTGCTGACAAGTAGTTTCCGTTGTATTAACGCAGCAGTGTTTACAAAAAAATAACTATTTTATTTTGTAGATTTCTTGCAGTGGCGAAATACCCATATAGGATTTTTTTGGAGATAACTGAATTTTTCAGAAATGGTTTACAATATCATATTAATATCATATATAGTATAGATATACCGGGTGGTACTTCGTCGTTGGAAACAGGAAATCCCATGCAAATTTTGATCTGTCCTAATATTGGCTCCACTGTTAAGTTTACAGCTAAGTTGTAAATAGGTTTTTAAAAGATCTGCTTATGCTGAATGGACATGCCAAATTTGAACAGTTTTGGACAAGCAGATTTTAAGTAATTTAAGAAAAACTGCAACTATTTTTAAATTAAAACTGAACAGGTAACAATGCAAAACGAGTCAAATGCCAACATACCTTAAGTTGTCAACCTATGATTTTATAATTTTCAAATGTAATTTGTTATGCTGTCTACATAACTACGTTATAGTACCTACGCTGAGTGTCCCCAAAATGTATTTTAGTATCTTAAAACTGGTTCGAATGAGCCTAACGTTTAGAAATGAGCCTAACGTTCAAATGAGCCTAAAAGCCTAACGTTTAGAAAATACAATTTGACATTGACAAAATTATAGGATAACAACTTAAGGTACGTTGGCATTTGCTTGGTGTTGCAATGTTACCTGGTCGGTTTTAATTTAAAAATACATTCAGTTTTTCTTAAATTACTTAAAATCGGCTTTTCCAAAATTGTTCCAAATTGGCATGTTTGTGTATTCAGCATACATAGACTTTCCAACGAAAGATATGAAATAGAAAGAGATTACATTAGGAATGTAGCTGAGTGTAATGGATATTCTCCTTCACTAGTTGATAAATTAATTAGAAAACGTAGGTATAGGTTAATGATTTCTGAAAATTCGACTTTTCAAGTGAAGAAAGATACGTCTAAATATTTTTCGATACCGTTTGATAGAGAGTTATCCCATGGTCTAAAAGGAATTTTTAAGAATGTCAATTATAAACTTGTGTATAGTGCTAATAATAAATTACAACAATTATTAGGTAATCCAAAAGATAAAACACCTCCACTGGAAAGGTCGGGTATTTATGAAATTTCTTGTAAAGATTGTAATCAGAAATATGTTAGGTAAACTAGAAGATCAATATTAACTAGATTTAAAGAACATTTAGCTCAGATAAGATATGGTAGACCGGATAAATCTTGCCTTGCTGAACATATTGTTGATAATGAACATTGTATAGATCTTAATAATTTAAAATTAATTAAGCAAGTCTCAAATTACAGGCAACTAGATGCATATGAAAGCATCAGAATTAATAAATGTAAAGATAGTATGAACAGAGTCAACGGTCCAATTCCTTCAAGTTCTTTGTTCCTACTACTCTAGTGGCGGAAATCTACTGTTACGCTCAGTTGTCTCTGACTCGGTTGGCTAGATTTTGCCACGCCCACTTGGTGCCCACTGAGCGAGTATATAAACGTTCAACTTGTAGATTGTACTTTAGTTTATAATCATCTGCTGATGATGCTAACATGGTTAGCGAAACGCGCGTCCAGTGTAAAAGTAAAAGTGTTTTGGTGTATTGTGGTGATTTAGTGCTTTTATTTTGCTGTGTAACACCAAAGGTTCCAACCCTCAACTGTAATACATATACCTTTAAAACTCCTATTTAAAATTTCGTTGTAAAATTAACAGGAGAGCCAATATCAGGACAGTTAAAAATTTGCCAGCGATTTCTTATGTTTTTAACAACAGTATTCTTATGTTTTCAAAATATAGTATAATATTTACAATATTATACTATATTTTTTATTCCTCAATTAATTTTGTAATAACATTTTTTAGCATATAATAGCCAATTTATAAACACTTTTTATTTACATATACAGGGTGAGTTTCCTACGATGTTTTCTATGGGTATCTCGGAAACTACTGGAGATAGAGAGTCGATTAAATGGAGAAAGAATTGCAGTTTTGTGGGGTCATAAATATGCGCCTTTCAGATTTTTGAAAAAGTTCATGGCTTACTAGATATTTTGAAAAAAACAAATTTCGGTTATTTTAAAAATTGTCCCTAATTCCATTATAAGCTATTTTAGACAAAAAGTTTTTAGATAAAAGTTGTAGATAATCACATCCTTAATGAGACTGTGCTCTCCATTTTCTTCTAATGCCTGTCATTTTTGAAATATGATACAAACATATGTTTTTTTTAAACGGAAACCATAGTTGGCCATGATTTCATAAAAAGCGCCATTTTAAAGTATAATATGTTTTCTTCGAAAAATTACTGAGTTATTTAATAGTTAGCCAATTCTTTTCATTTTTAAACAATTTCACTTAGTTAGCCATGGAAACAAGTTCAATCGTCGTTGCTCTCGAGTGGCGGTACTAGAGAAGTTTAAGTCGACTGGTCCTTCTATGAGAATAGGTAGTAATTCAGTTTTAAAAAGATGCAACTGAAAACAATGGCGGATTTTTTGAACACTTTCTAAAATAACTTAAAGTGTATGCAGTGATATTATTTTTTTTTAAGCTTTAGTTTGTGCAATACAAATTGTAAGGAACCGTTTAGTAATATATTCTGACTTTTATAAGTTATAAATCATAACAGAATAACAATACCATGCAATCTAATTGAAATTAATCAAGAAAGATAAAAATTAGCTATAACTGAATTTAACTTTCCTAACATGTCTTGAAAACCGTTCTCTAAAAAACGTAACATTCACCGGTCAACATATCCTCGAAAATGT